TCATCATAAGACAGACTTTCTGAAAGAGCCAACTGAAGTGGCCCCTCTTAATTTCAGAGCTAACCTTGTTGGAATGCAAATACAGAAATGTATTTATATACTCATTTTCCACTGGGCTTGGCTTAAGAGGCAGATCTCACACCTGGGACCATATCCCAAGGTTGCTGGAATGTTTGTGGCTTTTTGCCTGGAAAATACCTTTCCAATTTGTTATTTTGTCAGGATCTTAGAAGTGCTCAGGAAACACTTCTTTTCTGCCTTGGTTCTGAACAAGCAACAACCAAAGGAAAAGGCAGAACTAAGAGAAGGGTAGACGGAAGATTAGGCATTTTTGTTATGGCTAGGGGGAGGCTCTGTTAGTGGGAGGGTGTGGATTATTCCTTGGAGAACTCACCTGCTAATGGGCAGCACCAGAACTTCTGTACTTATCTACCAGGTGCATTGGATTCCAGATGCTGTGCTTATAAGTGAATACAGCTGAGCTTAGGTTCTTTGGGTGGCTCACACCCGGATGAAAAAAGAGGCGACATAGGTATGTTTGGTTGATTTTTCTCAAATTTTCCTATCAAATCAACCTCCCTCCCTATCTTCCCTAGGGTGAAGTAAACACATAGGCAGATGCAGGTGGCATCAGGAGTACTCCCAACTGCTCCAGAGAAGCTGGAATTGGGGGCAACACAAGCCCCTTAAATTGGACACACACATACACTTATCTAGAGGATCTGTATAATGTAGGCACTGCAGTATACATCTTTGCTTCTAAATAAAAGATGGACTCCCAGTGAATGCTGGACTTTATACCATTCTTTCTATCTACTACATCAGGACACACTTAAATAGCAGAATGATGGACCTGTGACTGTTGTTGAGGGACTCAACTATTGTTACAATAGAGGGAAAAGCAGTGGGGGGAGGTGGAAAGGGAAATCCCTGAGCCCAAGGGAACTATATCATGAAAAACAAGTGGATTAGCATATCTGATGAAATGAGAAGACCTCCCCATGATCAGCTGGGGATCCTTTAGGGTGAGACTTCCATGCACAGAAACTAGCTGATGCAGTGGATTCTCTTGTTCCAAGCACACCTCAGAACATTGGGGTTCCCTGAGAGAATTGTCTGTAATTACATACATACATACATACACATATGTATGTATGTATGTGTGTGTTTGAGAGAGAGTTTGTGCATTGTACACTCTGAAAGACATTGTAACACCAAGGAGTGGTAGCTTGAGGTCCTGGCCTTCTTGATGGCTCATGGCAGTACTAAGTGGAAAGGCAGCCTTATGCTGCCCTGTATCATGCATCTCTCTGCTTCCATTCAAAGTCTGCTAGCAAGTGCTTAACAATCAGTTCCAGGGGATGGCCCTGATCTGCAGCATTTGCTAATTTTTCTGGTATCACCACTCTCTGTGGCTAACTTCAAACTACTAAAATGTGAGAAACTTTTCAGCATTCCTAACAGTTGGCTAAGACTAACAGTTGGCTTTTTATGAGATGGTACCAGCCAGCTTCAGGACATGCTGGCCCTAATCCTGGTGCAGGCTTTTGACATCCATCCCCTTTTCTCTACCTTCTCCTGGTTCATGGCCTTTCTCTAGCTGATTGTTGCTTGTGGAAGCCTCTCTGTCCAAACTTAAATCTGACCCTGCATTGCCTGCGTGATTCATTCCACCCTTTTACTGACTGGGACGAAGCACCTTCTACCTCTTCAGTGCCATTTCCAGTCCTTGAGGGGTTGACTCTGTCCACTGGCATTTATACTGGTGTGACTCTTCCCCAATATCTTTCTTATGCTGTCTGCCCCCTCTTTCTTCCTCTTTTTCATTTGATCTCTGTATTTTGCTTGTTTGAGACTCAGCTTGTCTGAAACTACCTCCAACCATTCTTCAGAATGGGTTAGGGCCTGTGTCTGTGTCCATAGTGTCTTTAGTATGCTTTCAGCCCTACACTAGGACCTTACTTATATGGGGACCTATTTGTTTTGTCTTTTCTTATTAGTCTGTAAGCTTCTTGTGTGGATATGGGGAACTTGGTTGTTATTACCCTTATACATCGTCTATTTGCTGATAACAGGGTTTCTGTCTCCAGCTCCCACCCCTTTTTTTGATATCACCTCCTGTCTACCTGCCTCCTGGAGGTATCAGCCAGTCTAACTCATAGGCAGCTCCAATGTAAATGGACAGAAGCAGGCTATGTCCAGCAAGGCCTGGGATGCTTCCCTCAGTACTCTCTATATTCACTTCCCTCAAGTTTCAAGGAGCTTACATTTTGGCTTCTCTGGTTAATCCAACAGGTGGATGCATTGCACAGTTGTTCTTCATAGCCATGTCTAGTGCCCAATCCTGCTTGTTTACTATGTGCTCTTTCCTCCTACCACCAGGTAGTATCTGTTTATCATTTACTTGAATATTATGGTTCACTGTTCATTGATGAGCAAATGTATGGTTATTGTGAGCAAGTTACCTAAGCTTGTGAGGCAATTAGGCTTTTTCTGTAACCTTTAGAGGACTGGATAACAAGTGAAACAATGCCTATGGAAGAGCCTGGTTCACAACCTGACACACTTCAGATGCTTACTTAATATTGCTGTCCTTTGGGGCTGTACATAGTAAGCACATAATGAACATCAAACAGTGCTTAAGCAAATCTGGTGTAAAGTACATCAAGTAGTTCCTAACACAGCATATCAGCTCTAGGACTTAATACAAATAAAGATGCCCTGGAGACAAGGATTCAAAGAATTGAGTCCTGAAGCATGCTAAAGAGTGAGAACCAGTGATATAAAATACATATTAAAGTGTGGTATTGGGTTTAGTACTTAGAAGTCTCCAGGGACCAGAGCTAACAGGAGAAGGAAGTATAGAGAGGTGGACAAATTTGTAGGGTAGAAGGCTAGAATGTCAGGCAAAGTTTCTATGATACCATCTTAAGAATATTCTTGCACTGGAAAAACTGTCTATGCTGAGTATTAAGGGTGAGCTGTGTGACTCCAAGTCAACTGACTGTGTCAACAATACATCTTCACAGCAGTAGCTCAACTGGCATTTGACCAATTACTGGGAACCACAACTCAGGCAAGTTGCACATACAATTGACCGTCACATTGTACAATTCACTATTGATTTTTAATAGTATATAGAATATCTGATGCGTCTCTAATTCTAGGCTGGGTTGCATGCAAAACCCTCATTTCTTCCACAAGAATTTGTTACTGACTGTTTAGTACTTCTTATTCTTAAAAAAATGGTTTATTTATTTGAAAGGCAGAATAACAGAGAGGAGAAACAGGGAAAGAGAGAGATCTTCTATTTCCTGGTTTACTCCCCAAAAGCTTGCAACAGCTTGGACTAAGCCAAGTACAGACCAGGAGCTAGAAACTCCATTCAGATTTCCTTTGTTTGTGTCAGAGCCCCATCTACTTGAGCCCATCTTTTGTTGCTTTCCCAGGAACACTGATGGAAGGAAGGCAGATGTGGAATTCAATCCAAATCTCTGATACAGGATGCTGGCTCCCCAGGTGGCGTCATAACCTGTTGGAAGCTGCCCCACCTCTCTCATTCTTCACAGATTAATTTTAGAGATGGGGAGAACTTCATAGTCTTCATAGGAGCTTTTCAATCATTACCCCCCCTTCCAGGCTGGGAAGTCTAGTGGAGAAAACCTCTCTTATTGAAATAAGGATATCTGTGAGCCCAGTGCAATGGCTCAATGGCTAAATCCTCACTCTGCAAGCGCCGGGATCCCAAATGTGCAGAGGTTAGTGTCCCAGCTGCTCCACTTTCTATTCAGCTCTGTGTTAATGGCCTGGAAAAGCAATGGCGGATGGCTGAAAGCCTTGGGATCCTGCACTTGCATGGGAGACCTGAAAGAGGCTCCAGGCTCCTGGCTTTGGAATGGCTCAGCTCAAGTTAGACATTCCAGCCATTTAGGGAGTGACATGGTGAGAAGATCTTTCTGTCTGTATCTTCTTCTCTGTATAAATCTGCCTTTCAATAAAAATAATAACTTCATTTCCAGTTCTGCTCAGTAAGTGGGATGAAATAGTGGTTTACAACAATCAACAATGCTGCTTACTTAGGTGGGAGAGGGATGTAAAAACAAACACCAATTCCTCCAATTTGTCCAAAAATAGCTATTATCTAATGGTTTTGACAGCTGAAGAATGACTAGTACCAGAGGCTGAAGGTTAAACAGGAAATACAAGTGGGAGTGCCCTCCCCTCCTCATTCCCACCTAGTCCAGAGCTTCTCTCCTTCAGTGGTGAGAGGTCACTCAGCCTGAGGTCTTGGCTTCAGCACCCACAGGTGGGCATTCTCTCCTTTGCAAATCTGTAGGATCACCTGGTTCAGATCGATTTCTCCCTGGCCATTAGCTCCCATTTGACTGGCTTCACAGACACCTGGCCTGTTTTCCATTTCCTGGTTCCTTGTTGCACACTTGCAGGCAACCTGCCCCACCTAGGGTTCTGGGACTCCTTGACACCCCTTCTCCACTAAAGACCAACCCATTCCCGAAATCCCAGGCTTAAGATAAAAGCGTCGGCCAAAGATCCGAGGAGCACGTTTGACCCTGTAGGAGCGCAGAGCCGAGGGGGCACCCACTTTCATATTCTGGGCCGCTGCAGCCAGTAGGGTGCGACAGGCGGGGGAGCTGAACCAACTGCCCCTCTGCTGCCCAGCACGAGGACATCCTCAGGGCGGGCAGGGAGAGGTGGAAGAGGTGAGGCAAAGGACTCTGTGCCACACTAAGCGGACAAGGAGGAACACAGCCATTCTCAGGATGAGGGAAAACGAAGGCAGGAAGAGAGCAAAACTGCAGCTCACAAAGAGGCAAGCCAGGCAGCCACCTCAAACCGGAAGGGGGGAGGAGGAGGGAGGGACCGAGCAGTGGAGACGTACATACAGAACTCTGCGAGGGCCGCCAACCACGTTCTCCCCACCTTCTCATTGGCTGTATTCCACCTGTTGGTGCAATTTTGCCTTTCCCATCTCGTGAGAGGAGTCGCCATCTTGGGTTTCTGTTGGCTGCCGTCTCTCCACCGCGGTGTTTGGAGTGAGGCCAGGGACCAGGGATGGCGTTGACAGAGAGGCTGTAGCACAGCTTCCATGGTCACGACTTCCCTGCTCGTGTAGGAGCTCGCCTTGGTTACGGTGCTTGAAAGAGGGCATTGGACATTGTGTGTGGGGCCTGCCGGTGCGGTGACTTCGTGGGTAAGGGGATTGGCACAGAGTGGGCTTTTGGTGGCTGGCGGCCTGAGTGCCCCCTCTTCGGACCCTGACAGGGACTGAGACAGAAAGAGGGCCACTGCTGCCCTCCAGGCTGGGCAGAGTGGGGCGCTGCCGGGACAAGTTCAGACTTGGCGTGCGTAGTCTTTCCCTGGTTCTGCCACACACGTTTGGCCTGAACTGTACCACGACTGAGCGCAGTGGCTTTTCCCATTGCAGTGCCTTTACTGCCTAGCTTGATGTAACCTGAGAGTGTCCTAGTGCTAGGCAAATGAACCTCAGCAAGCTGGGCTGAAAGCTGCCAGCATATTTGCAAATAAGGCAAACAGAGAATTGTCTGTTCTGGCATTTCTGCATGTGATTTCCTGCTTTTCTGGTTAGAAATAGTGTCCACCAAGTTTTTTGGGGGGGGGGGGGATCTTCTAAACCATCTATGGCCCAAAGAGCTACTGTTACTTATTGATTGCTTCAATAAACATTAGTTTAAAGCATTTTCTTTTTTTCAACAGATTGTTGTGATGGGTGGAACTAAAGTAGAACTTTGAGCAGCCCTCAGGAGCAGCAAGCCGCCACACCTGGAAGCTTTCAAGGCCCTTGGAGCTTAAGTGGCAATGGCGCTCTTGGGTAAGTTTCTCTCTTTGGATCTCAAATCCTATGCACTTTGTGTTCAGACCTTCCTGTTTTCATGAGCAGACTCTTTCTCCCTTGCATTGTTGACTTGGGATCAGTTAAGAGGCCTTCCTTGTCTTCCTGGGTTGGTATCTGAACTGACTCCTTGGATTTGACAATTAACTGGATTGAATCTACAAAAGGACTTGCAAAAAGTTCCTAAAAGATAATGAAAAGGTAAGCTTATTTTCTTGCAAAAATTTGTTAAGACATGAATATGAGTTAAGGACCTTGAATGACTTTTTTAGGTCTAACCTTTATGATTCTTGATAATGTACTATCCCAGACCATGGACTCTGGGACACTTACCTTCTGAATATGCACATTTTGGAGAAAATAGTTTAGCCTGATGAGAGACACTTATATAAAAACAGTGTTCACAATAAGAACATTTTTATTTGGATGACACTTGTGAAGCATATTAGAAAAATAACCTGCAAAAATGACACATTCTTTAATATTTGGAGGCATCTGAAGGACAAAATTGCTCCTTAAAAGATGCTTTGGGAAAAGAAGATGAAAAGCATAAGCAGAAAACTAAAAACAAAATAAACTAACCCCAGCCATTCCATCTTTATGTAAATATTCTGATTCTATTCACCGTTTCACTTGATTGCATTGTCACTTGAAAACAGTTCATACAGGAAAGAGAAATTCATACCTTGTAAGGTGAGACCTCATGACGAACGAGGCCTGCCTGGTTTAAGACAGGGATAGGGAACCTTTTCTCTGCCAAAGGCCATTTGCATCTATATGATATTATTTGAGGATCATGCAGATTTGTCAACCTACAAATTAGCCTTTGTGTGTTTATTGAACTTGAGTTCTTGCCTGTACTTGCCTTGGTAGAGCCAGACAAAATGACCACACTGACCTTTCACAGCCAAAAGACTGGATGTTCCTTACCTGCTAAGGCAAAGCTTACAGGCGTCACAAGAGAATTCCCCATCCAAAACAAGATTCTCAAAAATACAGTTTTGTAGGTAAAGGAAAGATTAATAAGCTTCAAATTACAGAACTCATGTAAAAATGGTATGAAGGAGTCTGCACTTCTCTGCAGAAGCCATAGTCAGGAACTTTTCTGCAATGAAAATCAGCTGGCCATGAATCCTTCAGAAGATAATGAAGATAATGAAGAAACACTGCTGTTACACCTTTCACCCTTTGATTGCCTTCCTACAATTTCCACATGGATCAGCAACCAAAGGATCAGGAATTTGGTCAGGTGGAAGACGTAAGAAATGCAAAGGCCTTAATGAGTCTGGACTAACCTCTTTTTCTGCCTTTAAAAAAAATTTACTTACTTGAAAAAGCATTGTATAAACAGGGGTGGAGGGGTATTTTCTATCCATTGGTTCACTCTCCAAATGGCTGCCATAGCTGCTCCATACTGTAACTGAGATCATAGAAGGCCATCCTCATCTCCCACATGTGGTTAGCCAGGGCTAAATTCCTCAAGCCAGCTAATGGTGAGTTCTCAGATGCATTATCATCACCTGGATGACAAGCGGAGCACTCCCAACTGGCGCTTAGGTGGGTTGCTGACATCCCATAAAATGATTTAACCCACTGTGCCACAAGGCTAGTCTGTTTCTGTCCCTTTCAGTTGTTGGAACACATGACATCTTGACAGCTGCATGAGTTAAAGTGAGATCTCCCTGTGTCCTGTGCATGTCCAGTATACCCAGTGCAGTCCTTCTACAGACTCAAACTATACTGTAAGGCCAAGGCTGGCTCCAGGTGTAAAGCCGTTTATTTGGAAGGCAGTGTGGTAGCAAAGACAGAAAAGGGAGAGAGAGAACAGTACACTTCCATCTGCTGCTCCTCTTTAGCAGTGGCTGCAAGGGCTAAGTCTAGGTTGGCCAATTCCAAGATCTTGGAGCTCCATTCTGGTCTTCCACATGGGCAGCAGAGGTTTTCTATTTTTTTTTTTAATGCCATAATTTAAGTGGCAACATTCTGAACCGTCATTGAGTTTGGAGTATTGCCTGTTTCAGAGCCTAGATATTTCCCACTTCAACTGTATTCCATTTAATTCATCTCAGTTTTTTTTCTTGCGCTATGGGAACATGAGGAGAACTGGGAGGAGTAAATAAAAATATTCTTTTAAAAGGAAACTTTGAAAGACTAGGTTTAACTTGGAACCAGCTGTTTACCTAATGAGGGTTATAACAAACCACCCAAAACTGGTAAACTGACCAGTGCATGAAATTTTGGTTATGAATATAGAGAGAACTATCCCATTCGCTTTCTTTCTGCACTCCCTACACATGCTTTCTTCTAGAACTTTCTTTTTTTTTTTTTAAAGATTTATTTTTATTATTTTTTTATTGGAAAGGCGGATATACAGAGAGGAGAGACAGAGAGGAAGATCTTCCGTGCGATGATTCACTCCCCAAGTGAGCGCAACGGGTCGATACTATGCCAATCCGAAGCCAGGAGCCTCTTCGGGGTCTCCCACGCGGGTGCAGGGTCCCAAAGCTTTGGGCCGTCCTCGACTGCTTTCCCGGGCCATAAGCAGGGAGCTGGAAGGGAAGCGGGGCTGCCGGGATTAGAACCGGCGCCCATATGGGATCCCGGGCGAGCAAGGCGAGGACCTTTAACCACTTGCGCCACCGCGCCGGGCCCTCTTTTTTTTTTTTTTTAAAGATTTATTTATTTTTATTACAAAGTTATACAAAGAGGAGGAGAGACAGAGAGGAAGATCTTCTGTCCAATGATTCACTCCCCAAGTGAGTGCAACGGCCAATGCTATGCCAATCCAAAGCCAGGAACCAGGAACTTCTTCCAGGTGTCCCACATGGGTGCAGAGTCCCAAGGCTTTGGGCCATTCTCGACTGCTTTCCCAGGCCGCAAGCAGGGAGCTGGATGGGATGTGGAGCTGCCGGGATTAGAACCAGTGCCCATATGGGATCCCAGGGCATTCAAGGTGAGGACTTTAGCTGCTAGGCCATGCCGCCAGGCCCATTCTTCCAGAACTTTCATTGCAATCTCCAGCTTTGGTTGAATTCAGGGTAAGCAGAGGTTATATTCCCCAAAGGGGTGGGCTGTGAGGAGTCTTAGCCAAGTGATTTTTCTAAAGACATTCTAGGAAGTCCATGTTTATAATATGTGATAAATCACTGTACTCAGCATATATTAAAGAAGTGATATTTCCCTCAAGATTCACATTCAAATCTGAGTGGATAAGGACTATCCAAGGCATAACTTGATAGATAGAGCTTTTTTTTTTCATAGTTTTTTTTCATAGTTCAATAATTCAGGTTGGAGAAAATGTGATGATGTTTTACAATATTTCTTTACCCTATGGAGTTTTAGAAAGTATGCCGAAGTGTGCCATGTGCTGCTTTGGGGAGCAAGGAGAAGAGTTAAAGTTTACAAAAATAGTAAATTAACTTGCTAATTAGAAAATGAATTTGGGGGAATTTAAAAATTTTAAATTATGTTTTGAGAGACAGGATTCCCATCTAAGCAGTTCTCATTCCCAAACCTCCAGCAGCCAAGGCTGGACCCACCCAAAGTCAGAGCAGAGAATGCCTGTCAGCATTGAAGAGACTTTGAAGCATATATGCTGAGTTATTTTATAGTTTGCTTTATTTTAAAAATATTCATTTATTTTTATGTACCCAAAATGCAGAGAGAGAGAGAGTGAGAGAGAATAATCTTCCGTACATACAAGATTCTTTCTGCAAATTTCTGCAATAATTAGGACTGAATAAGGACTACAAAGAAGAGAAAATGGGCTTCTGCTCTGTTTCTAAGTATTCCTCTGTTACATAGAAACTCCCATATTGTCATGACAGATCCAGTCAAACCATATATGGACTAAAGTGTACTCCCCCACTTGTCTAGTTAATTTCCTCATTCTGTAGAAATACCAAGCCATGGGAAGTATAGCCCAGCCGTCAGTGAAGAAAATGGCATTCCCCTCTTGTGGATTAAGACAGCCACTCAGCATCTTACTTGCTTGGGTTTTTCGAGAGAGTTCTTATGTTTTGCCTAACAAACTTCTCACTTGACTCAAACTGGCTTTGGGGTTGGCTGAGGCCTAGCCCACACCTGGTTGTTGAAACCATCTGGAGAATTGAACTAGCAGAGGGAAATCTCTTTCTCTCTTATTCATTGTCATTTTACATTTCTGATAAATAAATCTCAAGAAATAGCATGCTGTGCCTTTAAAAGGTTGCAGCTTTTGGTGGATTGATAGGTTAATAGGCTGCTAGGTGAGAATTGCTCAGGTTTGTTACACAGCTTTAGACTCTGAAGTATTGGTTTGGCATTTGTATATAAAATATTTGATAGGTTGTTGTAAGCTGTAGTCATCCCACCATCTGCTTATTCACTCACCAGATGACCACAATAGCCAGACTATCAGGCTGAAGCTAGAAGGCAGGTGCTTTATCTGAGTCTCCAATATGAGTGACAGGGGCCGAGGCTCTGGGGCCATGTTCTGTTGTTTTTCCCAAGCCATGAGAGAACTTACTATTTCGCTCTAACTCCTACTTTTTTTTTTTTTTGTTAACATATTCCAGTCCTGTTTTTCCCCACCCACAACAACAAAAACAACAAAATGCACATGCATTTTGGAAATAACTGAGGAAATCCAATTAATTAAAACCAGGGCTTAACATGTAGGTAAAGCAAGAGACAATTAAGTCTATGTATGTGACTGTCATTTATTGCGCAATCAAAATACAATAAGCAACATAGGAGGATATGAAACTACTTTCTCTGATGAAACTGTGTATGAGTTAGTCTTGTTTGCATTATTGTTTCCAGATTCATGATTCAAAACTTTATTTTTCAGTTTTTCAATCTGCCATTGTACTTTGACATTTGGTAATAGGATTTGTCAAAAAAAATTGGAAATTTGAACATTGATGATAAAGATCCATTGTATTACAATCAGTGACAACAGTCAGTATCCCACAGAATTCAGACAGATGAGCTTAGTTGATGAAGCAAAGAGTGTTGGAACTATATTTCCATTAATTCTGTTGTCCCTGATCTGTGTGGATCATAGCTACCATTAAACAGAATTCAACCCCAGAATATCTCTTTACAACTTCATTGTACCGCTATGCCAACTCTCAAAAATCACTTGGCAATTTTACCTTGTGTTTAAGAGTAATTTTGCTTTGGTTGGTATTTAGCGGAACATGGCAAGCAGATTTTAGGATTATACTTACAACTTTGACAGGCTGATGGAAAGTAGAAATCCAATGATAACCAACTCAAACACAACATGGCTTTGGCTTTTGTTTCTCAACTCTGGGTTTGAAACTATTACTTAGAATTGAGTGCTGTTTTTAGAAAGCATCTTTCAAGTCAATACATAAAATTATTTCTTACAACTTATGTGACTTTATTTTTAGAATTGACTTTTCCAGTAATAATGAATTTTTTAAAATTAATAACATTGTATTATGTGACACAGTTTTATAGGCACTGGAATTCCTCCCACCCTTCCCCAAACCCTCCCCTCATGGTGGATTCCTCCACCTAATTGCGTGACCACAGTTCAAGTTCAGTTGAGATTCCTTTATTGCAAGCATATAATGAAAATTGAGGATTTATTGAATGATATTTCCTCAGATGTATTCAGTATAGTCTGTTGCTTGAATTTTTATGAATAATAGTTAACATAAATTTGTTTTAGGGAAAAGGCTACCATTTACAAATAATACATGAAATCTGTTCATTCTACGAAAGCCCTCAGAATTAAATGTGTGTCCTACTGTAAGTACCAGCTAATGAATGGTCTCACTCACGTGATCACATCTGTACAAATACATCCTTTAAAATTTTCATGCCTATGCTTTACATTCCTGTCTGTTGAATTGTCATAAGAGTTTTCTCCAGATCATTGATAGTAACATAAGTACTGACTTATCCAAATTATTTTTTGCTGTTATTTCTTCAGGAGCTTTGTGAATTCTAGATACAGGAATTTTCTTTTTTTTTAAAGATTTATTTTATTTATTTTTATTGGAAAGGCGGATATACAGAGAGGAGAGCCAGAGAGGAAGATCTTCCGTCCAATGATTCACTCCCCAAGTGAGCGCAACGGCCAATGCTATGCCGATCCAAAGCCAGGAGCCTCTTCTGGGTCTCCCACATGGGTGCAGGGTCCCAAGGCTTTGGGCCATTCTCGACTGCTTTCCCAGGCCACAAGCAGGGAGCTGGATGGGAAGTGGAGCTGCCGGGATTAGAACCAGTGCCCATATGGGATCCCGGGGCGTGCAAGGCGAGGACCTTAACCACTGCTCCACTGCATCGGGCCCGATACAGGAATTTTCAAATGGAATACCTCAATTAGTTTTCTTAATAAAGGAACGTGTCTAGTGTCTCCCCAAGAAGCTGTTGCCATTTACGAGAAATGAGAAGTATTTCATAAAGAGGAAATTTGAAAACCAGTATTGTATTGTGGCACTTCAGATTAAGCTGCTGCCTGTGATGGCACGGGGCATTTCCTCGCTGCTCCAGCTCTGATGTAGTTTTCTGCTAATGTACCTGGCAGAGCAGCAGAATGGCTCTGCTGGTCTGGTGGGAGTCCAGGACAGAGTTAGAGGTTCCTCCCTCCAACCTGGCCTACCCTTGGCTGTTGAATGCATTTGGGGAGGCAAGTACTAGATGCAAGATTTCTGTCTCTGGCTCTTCTTTTCTCGGTGTAACTCTGCCTGTCAAATAAATGAAATCAATCTTTTAAAAAAGATTAAAGTATCATTAAAATTTAAGCTTAAACTCTGAATTGATAAACATATATCTTTTATAAAAATTGTACCTGTCATCTTACTCAACTAAGCAATATATTAAGTAAATATCCAGAAATACCAACGGTAACAGACCTAGCGGTGGAAATGCCAAAGAAAATAGCACTAATTGGATTAGACATCAGACAGTTGCTTCTACTATGGTCCAAAAAGATTTCCTAACTACACCAGAGAATTGAAGCATATAATTCAAAAATAAGACAATGTGTTTGCTGTTACAGAAAGGAGTAAGAAAAGAAAACTACTATGGGCCATATTCATGAAGCCATTTTGTGGTCATGGCAGAATTTATAACTCTGTAAGTATGGTACCTGAATTAGAAAATGCTGGTTCTCCAACACAGAATGATGTTGAAAGAATACCCAAAAAAGCACAAGAGTGGCTTCACAGAAGTGAACATAACCGGCCACAGGTAGGTTGAAATGTAAATTTTAGATTTTTCTTTCACTATTTTTTAGTATAAAAACAAAGAGTATGTCAACTGAAATTATCTTCCACACTAACCTTTTAGAAACATTAGGTCTTAATTTAATATCTAATTCAAATTATTTTATCTTTTGCAACTAAATGGATGCAATTGGAAACCACAATTCTTAGTTACATAACCAGTCAGTCCCCAAAAGAGAAGTTTATACACTTATCCTAATTTGTGAGTACAAAAAATATAATGTATAGATATGAGAGTGACATTCTGTGGTTTGATTATTGTGTATAGTCTTTGTTTATACTTTGAACAGTAGTATTTTTTTTTTTTTGCTTTTAAAAATTCTTTGTTATTTTCAGCTTGGCATGAGCTGATATTATTGCCTAATGGAGTGTTAAACTCTGGAAAAAATATAAAAATATTATATATAATTAAAAACTTCATATATTCTTAGAATCTGTTGTAAAGAATAACTCATTTTTATCATTGGAATAGAGACAAAGAAATCCTTAAATAGGATTTGCACTTTTAAGTTAAATTCTTAAGTTGGTCTTGTATTTTTATAAACCATGTTGCATGCTCATTTTTTCCTTGTGCATACTTGGATTACATCAGAAAAACATGCTTTAAAGACACGTGACCTCACAGGAGAGACATCGTAGATTGACACTGTTGCAGCTGATCTTGTGTGGCAGCAGGAATCAAAATCTAAAGAGGCACAAATAGATAAGGATTGTGATAGTTTGGATATATACATTCTGCTTTCGGTAATTAATGTATCTGTTTGTGAGAATGAAGATGCATTTGTAGTATCTCTGTGACAATGCAGGAATTTTGTGGAAAACAAAGATCCTGGGCTTAAAAATGTCTTTCTGTTTCTGGCATGCTCTGGGTTCCTAGAAAATGATACCAGCTCATCTTTAAGTTTCATTTAAGTGAGAATATGCTACACTATTAAAATGATAGTGAAGGAGCAGTCAGAGTTATTACTATAGTAAAAAATAAGGAACCTTGAAATAGCTAAGTTGAAATGAAAGCATACAAGGAGCTATTATGCCAGTGACAAAATATATGGAGAAAAATACCAGTAGTTGGAGTTTAGACCCCAGACATATGCCTCATTCTATTACTCCAGCAGCCCTTTTGGATGTAGGGCTTGCTTATCCCACAGAAATGAAGAACATGGTTAAAAGAAAACAAAACAAAACAAAAAAAGATGTTTTTGCTGTTACAGTTACTAGGAGAAAAAGGCAAAAGTCACTATATGATAACTGCAAAGTCAGCAACAATAAAAGTATGAAATGCTGTGGAGAAATGAAATGGTATATTATCTCCTTTTATTTTTAAAGATTTGTTTATTTTTACTGCAAAGTCAGATACATAGAAAGGAGGATAGAGAGAAATATCTTCTGTCCGGTGATTCACTCCCCAAGTGACCCAATGGCCAGTGCTGCACTGAGCTGATCCAAAGCCAGGAGCCAGGAGTAGATCCGTTTCTCCCATGTGGGTGTAGGATCCCAAGGCCTTGGATTGTCCTCTTGGACTACAAACAGGGAGCTGGATGGGAAGCAGGGCTTCCAGGATTAGAACTGGCGCCCATGTGAGATCCTGGTGCATTCAAGGTGAGGACTTCAACCGCTAGGGCACTACACACTGGGCCCCTCCTGCTATTTAATGTACATCTTGGTCATAGAACAAACACCTAGGCTAGATGTTGCTAAGGTAACTTGAATTAGAAAACGTGAATTCGTTTCTTTCATATAGTGACAAAACTTCAGAAATATATTTAAATGACATTTTACAACAAGGAATGCAAAAGGAATGCAGTGATTTAAAATCAGTTGGACTAACATTTGTCAGAGTGGTGAAACACTGCTTGGAACGCCCACAGTTTTTGGTTCACACTCACATACTTGTGGTGAACAAGTTTTTTACTTCATATTATCTAATGAAGTATAGTAAATATTGGCAAGTATTATTTCATATAAACAGTATTAACCATCACTAGCAATTCTGTATTTGATTCCAAATTAGAAAACAGAACATGGTTCTGAAGTAGTTTGAATGTTATAGGTAAACAAAAACCTAGAGAAATGCTCATGAAAACATTAAGATATTTGGCCAAAATCACATTGTAACTTATTAACTTGATGATTTCTTTTCTGGTGATTTAATCTGAACTTTTATCTATCCCCTAGCTTTAAAATTGTCAGTTATTGATCTGAAATGTGGGAAACTTGGCATGTTTCAGAATCGCATTGTAGTGGCTCAAACATTTTCCTCTGTTCCCTGAAGTATGAACATTTGGCTGATGTACTGTGGGAAGCATTTCCACTGTTTGTGTTTTGTTTTGTTTTAATTATAAAAGCATCAGGGACACACATATCTCAGTGCACAGGGGAAAACCTTCCTTTCTGTTACTGTGGCCCTACATGCTCAAGTCCTCTGACTGTGGCTGCTTCATTTCAATTCCAGGTGGTAAAGATAGGAAATGACACGTTTTCTCCCTGTGTCCTATCTTTACCGGGCAAATAGGTTACTGAAAATGTTGGATAGTGAGGAGTGAATAGCATTAAATGTTTAAAATTAAGAAGTGCTACCTTTGGTATTTTGGACAATTTTCTAAGAATTTTGAATTCAAAATGAAGGAAAATACATACAAATTTAAGTGGCAGATAATGTTAAAGCCAAAGTAGCACAAAATTTTTGACGAAATCATCACACTTAGCTTAAGTTTCAAATAAGCAAATGAATGAAAACAATTTTTGTTGAATGAAGTAACAGCAACAATCTTTAAACTTTCATTAAAGTTTGAAGAAAGGAAAAAGTTGGAAAGAAATGACTTGGGAGTATCAGAAGATTTGTCTGAGTGTGCTGCTCCTGCTCATGACAGTGATGATGGAGGACTCATCCCTCAGAGAAAGAGTGGACACCCTGACCACCAGCAGCTTCCCAGCAAGGAAGAAGGAGACTTGGAGTAAGCCAAGAATCATATTTAATGGTAGTTGATGGTTATTTAACCACAAAATTGCCCTAGTTTGGAGAATATTAGTGAGCAATACGTTCTATATTTCTAGGTCTTAAGCTACATTTGTAATCAGGCAAATACAAATTGATAAAACTGAGATCTAAGGTTTAAACCATATTGATAAGCGTATTGATCATAAGGTATTAACTAGTTTGCAAATGTAAAGAAAATGTATTTTCAAAACTTGGTACAGAAAATTATAAATCATTCTAAAAGGTAATAGGAGCATGTATCAAACTGGATTGTATCATTCTCTTTGATTTGGAAACTTACCCTTTAGGAAAAAATACACATACACACATCTAAGTTAGATGTTTCTGATGCATTAACCTCAAATATAAGGTAAAATCATGTAAGACATTATAGATATAAAAAAGCAACGACACATACATTTATACAAACATGGCTTGTGTGCAGGTGTTTGAGCACTATTTGGGATGTCTACATCACTTGTGGGAGTTCCTACTTCAGGTCCAGGCTGCTAGTGTGAATCCTGGGAGTAGATGGGAGCTCAAATGCTTGAGGGTCTGTCGCCAACAAGAGAGATCCAGAGGGAGTAACAGGTTTCTGGCACTCCGTGCTTGCTATCATGGGCATGTGGGGAGTGAACCAGTACCTGGAATATCTTTGTATATCTGTCTGTCTCTTCATGCCTTTTGGATAATATAAATGTAAATTAGCATTCTTTATGCATACATATGCACAATATAGATTTTGTTATAGCATTTTTGTATTATATTGGAAATAGTCAAATGCCAATCAGTAAGGAAAATAGTTAAGTCTTCATACATGTAACTACTTTTGAAATTAAATTAGATCTTTGGTATACTGATTATTTTAAATATAGAGTATAAATAATTTTGTTAAGCTTATGACAAACATTAAGCACGTTCTGTCAGAATGTTCATTCTGTCTCTTGAATTGTCCATGGTACACTGGCACTCTTCCTTTTAACTAATGGAATTATGATTCTGTTTTGGGGTTTTGTTCATAATGCCCAAGTATTCATTTGATCCATGAAATAATTTGAATGTTGCTGAGGGATTCCATAGCATATTTCTATATTCCTAGAAGCATTTCAGCATATTGGTTAAATCTGTTAAAGTTTATGAAGGCTAATTGTATGAACTAAATGAGGGGATAAAAAATGTTCTTTGTAAGGAAGTGTGTAATGAATACTTTAGGCTTTGTAGACTAGAAGATATATATTGTAGTCTAAAATATGTTGGAAGCCTGAAGTTAATCAGTGTGACTTTGTATCAGTGAGGCTTTATCTACAGAACCAGGCAGTGGGCTGAATTTGGCTCACAGGCACAAATTTACTGGAGGTCATGACAAACCTTTGCTGCCGCGAATGTGACAAATCTTTGAAAAGGTGTGCTGTTTACAAATTTAGAGATAATTTATTTCAATATATTTTTTAAAAACTTTATTTTGAAGATAAGATTATTTTCTGTATTTCTTTTTAATACTTATTCTATAATTCAGTATTTTAATTTCATTGATTACTGTTTGTATATGACTGATATAGGACACCTTAGAATTGTTATATTTCACCTGAACCTTAGGTGTTCTGTAATATTTATAAGCATAAGAAAAATACACATCGGTTTACATAATAAATGAGAAGCTTTTCAAGGGGGATTATTCTATGATTTTATGAAGTTATCCATTTGGAGTGCTTTTCAGATCCAAAACCATCAGAATGTTACAAATGGTCAATATGATCATTGTGTAAACTGGAATTAAGCTAAACAAGAGGATTTGACCACATCTAATCATGCCCCTTAGTGATGGTGTCCTTGAAAGAATTCACCGTACTCACTGCCTCACGCTTCCTTTCCATTCAGTCCTGAACTCACTCCCATTTGCTTCCCCAACCTCCTCCAATGCTGGTTTTCTCCGGGTTACCCCTGATTTTTCCTGGAGTTAGGCATAGTTTTTTTTTTTAACCCATCAGTCATCTTTGACCCGACAGAAAACTCTGATTCAGACACTATTCCATATTTGAATTTCAGAATATGATTCACTCACTTGTTTCTCCTCTTGCTGTTCTTCTCCATCTTATATACAAAAGATAGACTAAGAATAAAATATTACTTTTCAGTGTATCACAAGTTCAAATTGAAATCTTACTGCTCAAAGACTTTTCTTAATTCCACACCCATAAAACAATCTGCTTACTTAACATTTCTCTTTGGTTATCCCTTGAGTATTTCATTCAAATTAACTGGTTCAAAATTGAGCTAATGACAATTCTTCACGTAATCTTTCCTGCTTGGGGAAATGACAGCTCTTCCAGTTGCTATGACAAAAGCCTGGGTGCATATTATGTATGTGCTTCTGTTTTTTTAATCTCATCTCTATATGGTCACCAAATCTTCCAAGTTTTTTTTCAAAATATGTCTAGAAAATAGACACATTATTTCCAAGCCATTTTTTTCTCCCTCAGACGACTTTTCAATTATTATCATAGTGAACCTCTTAAAATATAATTCATTATGAAATTCCTTTGCTAAAAATCTTAGAACTGCCACTCATTTCATCATTCATTGTGCATGCTGAAGGTCTTCCTAGAGCCTACGAGACAGTACAGGATCTGACATCTTTGACTGAAATCTCTGATTTTCAGTCTCCTTTCCTCTGCTCCAGCCACACTTAATTCACCATTCCTGTACTTTAGCTTCATCATCTGTACTTTAAGCTGTTCCTTCAACTAGTATCTGATGTTTCTTGAAATTTCCATTCAGTTTGTTAACATTTATTTAAATATAGAAGTGTGAAAATGCTACATTCTTTAGGACATCAGTAAAGGCATAGTTTTATGGTTGAAAGTGTTTCATTCAGAGCTGATTTAGGACTGTTGATTTTACTTTTTGATTATTGAATACTTGGAGTCATTGACTTTTGGGAAATAATATATATATAATAAAATGTTCCTTAAAGGGGCTTGTGCTAGGCTCAATAGGCTAATCCTCCATTCTGTGGTGTCAGATGTCATGTGGGTGCTGGTTCCTGCCCTGACTGCTCTACTTCTGATTCATAAATCTACTTGTGGCCTGGGAAAACAACAGAGGATATTCTAGTTCTTGGGACCGTGCACCCATGTGGGAGACCTGGAAGAAGCTCCTGCTTCTGGCTGTTTGTTTCAGATCAACTCATCTCTGGCCATTGAAGCTATTTGGGGAGTGCACCAGCAGATGGAAGACCTTTCTGTCTTTCCTTCTCTCTGTAAATCTGCCTTCCAAATAAAGTAAATCATAACATTTATCTAAAAATGAAATGTAAGTTTAAAGAAATAAGTTCTTCAATCAGAACTTTTCCAAAAATTTGAGATATATACATGTAGAAAAAACTGTATAATAAATATGAAGGGGCATTTTAAATTGTTTGAATAACTTGTGGAGATTAATGAGAAAAACTTATGAATTGTGAAATCTTATAAATAGTAAAATATATTGGAAACTCTTAAATGTGAGTACTTCTTACTCTTGCACGTTCCTTGCAATTTAGTTTTAATGATTCTTGTATTCTGGAACACCATATGGACGTGTAAGATTATATAAAGTCAAATGTTTTGTATTTTAGTTTTTTGTGTTATGAATGTGGTGAAATTTTTATTATAAATATTTAAAGATTTTTGACAAAATAATATATCTGCAGTGAATCTGATACAAATATTTGTTTCTTTTTTTCTTTTTAAAACAAAATGTAATTCCCATAGAAAAGGAAGACTCTACGGTAATTGTCTTCATGGTTTTGCATTATTTCGCTCACATAATGTTCTTCAGTAGCAGCCATTTTTATGCAGATGACAAATTTTATTCTCTTAGCTAAATAATAATCTTTTATGTATGTGTGCATGTGTGTGTATACATATTTTCTCTCCTCTTCCATTTAATGATGAGCAGGTTAGTTAATACCACATTTTGGCTTTTGCGAACAGTGCTACTCCAAATATTTTGCTGCATGTATCTCCCTGCTACAATATTTTCCAGACTTTTGGATATAGACCCAGTAGTGGATTGCTGATTTGTGGCAAGTCTATTTCTGGGTTTTTAGGAAATTCTGTTTTTCTACTCTTCTTGCACTAATTCAGATTCCAGCAGTGTATAAGATCTCTTGTCTCCATATCTTTATCAGAATTTGTTCTCTGTGTTTTGGAAAATAGCCATTTGGCAGAGGTGAGGTGATGTCTCATTGTAGTTTAAAATTGCATATCCTTGGTAGCTAATGATGTAAACATTTTTTCATACATGGTTTCCCTTTTGTGTTTTCTTCTCTTGCAAACTGTCCATTAAAGTCCTTTCCCCTTTTGTTAACTGGATTGGCTGTCTTTTTCTTTTTTAAAGATTTATTTATTTTTATTGGAAAGTCAGATACACAGAGAGGAGGAGAGACAGAAAGATCTTCTGTCTGCTGATTCACTCCCCAAGTGAGCGTAACAGCTGATGCTATGCTGATCCAAAGCCAGGATCCAGGAACTTCTTCCAGGTCTCCCACATGGGTGCAGAGCCCCAAGGCTTTGGGCTGTCCTCTTCTGCTTTCCCAGGCCACAAGCAGGGAGCTGGATGGGATGTGGAGCTGCCGGGATTAGAACCGGTGCCCATATGGGATCCCGGCATGTTCAAGGAGAGGACTTTAGCTGCTAGGCCATGCCGCTGGGCCTGGCTGTCTTTTATTGTTGATGTTTTTGAATTGCTGATATGTGATATATTCTGGTTATTAATACCTTTCAGGTAGGTTGCAAAGATTTTTTCCATTTTTTTGGTTGTTGCTATATACTCTGTTGAGTCTTTCATGTGCAGAAGCTTCTAAGTTTGAAATAATCCCATTTATCTAGTTTTGGTTTTGTTGCATGTGTTTTGGTGGTCTTATTCAAAAAAATATTTCTTTATATGTCCAAGTACGTTATGTTGAAAAAAAATGTTTCTGTATAGCATTATTTA